ATAAAATCAAAAGATTTGCTTTTTTAATTTACATTTTATCGTGTGGGAAGGGAAACTACCATTTGGAATCGAGATACAGGGTCGCAGGAAATGCTTTGAAATCAAGAAAGGGGGCAGCGTTTAAAACAAAAAAGCCTAAGAACCTCTAAAGTAGCGTCAGACACCTGACAGGGTCACAATGCTGTGTGTCTCTTGATGTCTCATTTTTGTGTTTCGGCATAGCCAGGAAGATCGGTGGAACACTTCGAAGGGAACATCCGGTATAGTAGAACAATTGGAGGGGGGGGGGGGGTTGAAGCAGTACTTCAGGAAAAACAAAAACCTCGTCTCATGGGAGGTACCGGTCCAAAAATGATTTAATTAATTGTGAACTTTTGAGGATTTTTTTGTAATACAATTTTAATTTTTGTTGTAGAATTATGAAACATAACATGAAATTATAATACAATTTAAAAAAAGTATATTTTTATAGCGCGGGAGTCAATTAAATAATTTGGCATCTTAAATTTTGAAGCTCCTTCGATTAACACGAAAATCTCAAAGTATTTTCAGACGAGTCATTTTATGAACAATGTTCATAAACTTTTGTATGCTTTGTAACATTTCCCTACACTCCAGTTTTTATTTTTTCCGCGAATCCGAAAAACGTAATTAAAGGCAAAAACAACTAAAAAAAAAAAAAATTTTTTTTTTTTTGTTAAAAAGTAAAAGCGTTTATTATTAACTATAGAACACATTTATCAATTAAATGCAGGACTCGGAATTCAAGGCCATAAGTCTTTGGAGACACAAGATAGTCTGGGGGAGAATCACCTGATGGGAGTGTGCACGTTTTCTGAAGCTTATTGCTTGGGGCACAAACAAAAATCTGAGGACGTGAATTTAAATCGTGCCACAAAGAACCATTCAGAAGTTTTTCAAGTGCAAGTTTGTATTTAAAAAAAGCTTCACGCATACTAATAGTTATAAGATACACCTATCATCATCTCATTGGTTTATGTAATCGGTATATTAAAAAAAAAATAATGCAGAATTTGTCGATTAGATGCTCTCCAAGAGTGACTGCTATATTTCAAGCAGAGCTTGTTATATATTAAACCATCAGAAAATGAGAGCCAGTTGCGTAATTTTAAGCCACAGAGGCTTAAGGATGGTTATAAAATTAGATTTTAAATTGCGATCGTCTTAATATATCTAGGTTAGCGTGTGCACGACTTTGAGAAATTTTTAAAGTAATCCGTTGAAAGTCACGATACACCCTTTAAAAGTAGGCCATTTTGAAGCTGAAGGTAGACGCTTCTTATCTTTTATGTCTTGCATTATCTTGAAGTTGTAGTGCAGCTTGCACTAGCATGTAGTCTAGCGAATACGGGCACGTAGTGTAACCAGCGCTAACATGTCGTCTAACTATTATTAAAATTATGTATACTTACTAGTACTAACGTGTATTCTAGCTATCACTAACACGTAGTCTAAAAGTGCTAACATGTAGTCTAGCTCTTACTAAAATGAAGTCCAGCAAGTAATGAGATGTAACCTAGCCAGTACTAACTTGACCATGTAGTCTCGCCCAGGGCTTACCAAACGTTTAAGTTTGGTGTACCGGTGGACAAGTTTCCATACCACAGCGGGGACTGGTGCCAGATGTTTAATTATATATATTTTTTTATTTGACCATAAACCGGCAGCATAACGCCCACGGACCAAATCGGGCCCGGGGACCACCATTTAGGAAACGCTGGTGCAGCCAGAACCATCATGCAGTGCGGCGTTGAGAAATAATATATGCATCTTAGAAATGCACATGTCAGTACTCACAACGCCAGCTCGTAAAATTGTCTGCCGTGGGGATTTTAACGGGCTTCAAGAAATTGTTACATCGTAAAGCTATATTATCAAGATGTTGTCTATTTATAGCTCGATGCCTCATTTTAGTTTTCTTAATGTCCCGTCATGCACTTGTTTTATTATATATCTTACAGGCTGCTCGGGACGTGCGCTTGAGAATACTTTTTTAAACTGCAGCGCAGTAATTTATAAACCAATTTGCACCATGATAAACGAAAAATAAAGGTTTCCTGAAGTCTAACATTTTGATACGTTATTCAGAACCCATTTGGTGTCAAGAGTCTGTCACGCGGAGAACCCAGTTGGTGTCGTTGTCAAGACTCTGTCACGAGGAGAATATTTCTGTTATTTTCAATTATTTTCAAGCTCCACTGCAAACATCTTCTATTTAATTCAACTGTATGTTTGAGGACTAGGACGGAACTACCACTTTTAAAATTACTCAAGAGTCGGACTGATTATGTCTTTGAAATAAACAGTGAAAAACGTAACATTCTTTATTATTATTATATTATATTATTATTGTTTATTTATAAAATTGATAAAATGCCATTTCATTCAGAAAAATGGACCCGTGTGAATCGCGGGCCACGAAATCACTGTGTTCTAGAATGTCACATTTTTAGCATCCATATTCATTAATGCAGTGGTTCCAAAAGTGTGCGCCGCTATCCCCGGGAGACCCGTAGCTTCCTCACAGAGGCGACGCAAAATTTAAAAAATTGGTTAATTTGATTTATGTTTACAATTTAATGTGCCACTTCATGACATCGGGCAGACATGGTACAATCTGAACACGACATCCATCAGACCTGGTGCAATCTGGACACGACATCCATCAGACCTGGTGCAATCTGGACACGACATCCATCAGACCTGGTGCAATCTGGACACGACATCCATCAGACCTGGTGCAATCTGGACACGACATCCATCAGACCTGGTGCAATCTGGACACGACATCCATCAGACCTGGTGCAATCTGGACACGACATCCATCAGACCTGGTGCAATCTGGACACGACATCCATCAGACCTGGTGCAATCTGGACACGACATCTGGTCAAGCCTGTAACAGAGAGAAACAACGCTTTACAGAAGCCTATGTTGAGATTGTGAGGAGATGACGTTCTGTGATCTTATATAATTGTTTAATTTAATTGTTTTTTTTTTACCGAACCCTTTAATAAAATACAAATAAATTATTTCCTGATTCGCAGTTAGACTTTGACATTGGGCTCTTTGGGCAATCTTTGATGATTTCAGCAAAATAAAGTAGAAACTTCGTTCAAACCGTGTGAATGAGCTAGTGAGATCATGGTAAGTGAAAGCACGAATAACGTACGACACACGGCTGAAGGCATTCTTCAACAAAATAATCCATTAAAAAGAAAATAATGATAAAATCAGAACACAGTTAAAAAAAAGTCTTGATTAAGCAAATCGCTAAGAATATAAAGAGGTTTGACAATAACTGCCTTAATGAATGAAGTCAAGTGTGAAAGCCCTGGCAAGAAGACCTGACGACCCCCTGAATAACTTAAGTCGACGAGAAGACAATGATTGATTCTATCTTAAGTTCAGCGCACCAAGTCACGTCATTTCCATTGCTTTTGAAAACAAAATGTTTGGCTTCTTTCGTTAAACTTGGCCGTGCCCTGATTCACATTACAGGTCGCAAACCTCTGTCCAAAATATGGTACGTGTAAAATTGAAATGTAAAGACAGATAAGTAATACAAAAATATATTTTTTTCTACTAGCTGCAAGGTTCAACCAAATAAGATGGAACGACACAGCAGGGATTTTTACTCTCGAACGATACAGAAGGAGGTTTAACTCTAAAAGATTTTTAGCTTGGCTTATAGCTACCCTTTATTCTCTCTTTAAAAACATGTCAATAAAAAAGCCGAAAATGTGACTTTAAATAAAAATTGCTGTTATGAAACCTATTTACTTGTCCAACCATTGGTGTATGCCCCATTGTAGCCCCTAAAATGGAACGCCTCCGTTAGAGTAAATTTGGTTACATATTTATCTCTAATAAATTTTTTATGATAAATTTAGTGGTTTAGCCGGAGACTGCGATGCTTGGGGGGTACACGTCAAACATAAATCATGCACATTATACGCAGTAGACCGAAAATGCAGACCCCAACCGACCCAAAGTGCCACCAAGGGTGGAACACCCCTTCCACCCCTTCTACCCATCTCTTGCTACGCCTGTGGAAGAAACACATGTATGCAATTAAATAAGGGCATTTACTATATTCTATCATTAGGTTATTACTTATTCAATCTCGTGGCTGCACTTATTTTTTTGCAATAGTGTCGGCTCCATTATAAACTCTGTTTTCAGTTAAGTCAAGCTGTCGTGACCTTTAGCCTATTTCATTTTAAAGAGAGTTGTCAGCATGCTATATCCTCCCCCCCACCCCCCAAACCCTTGCCCATTTCAGTCTCTTTTCCTTCATATTTTAATCATATTCAATCACATGACAATGATAAGAGTTTACTGTAATGAAGATAAGGCTCCACATCTATTTAATATATAACAAGAATGAAATTTCACATCAATGAACTTCAAATAAAAAAAATAAAAAAAGTAAAGAAAATAAAAGGACCGTAACCTATTAAGTTCAGTACTGATTACCGTCCTTGCAGAAAGGAGTCGTTCTTTTTGAAAATGGGCTGGTCAAGCAGTGCCGTGTGTGTCTTTGGAATTATATTTCTACAATATGCTGGTATGTAAATGCGCCAGTAAAAACAAATACATTTTATTATTTTAAAATAATTTACACATTTCTTACTGTTCTAAATTATCTTTATTTCTATTACATAAATCTAAATACTCAAATAGCGTTTATGAAAACATTTCTGTTCTAAAGGCCTTTATATGCCGTATGCATATATATATATATATATATATATATATATATATATATATATAAAAACGTTAAGATTTTTTAGTCTTGAATATTAATCAGCGAGTTAAATGTTTACCAAATTAATACGTTTATCTTTCAAAGCCTTTAAGAGTATAGACGCTGTGAAATAGTGGAGTCCTAACGCGAACGTTGTGGGCTTAGCTGCATCTCATTAGGTTATACAATATCAAAGATTTAACGATTACTCAATTTCAACCATTTCTATGTTCCAGCTGGCAACCCACATTTGAGCGTCCACCCCCAACCAATCCGCGTGGGTCTGGCCAGGAACTTCACAGCTTTTTGTACTGTATCAGATCTAAAAGTAGCCGGGTGGTCCAGTGTTGCTTCCCTTGTCATTAGAAGAAACAGAAACCGGGTTTCCGAGCCCATCGCCGACGTCCACAGTTCAGCGAGCGCTGTGCTCAGACCATCGGCCGGAGACGCCGTGGTCAGCGGCGCTCTCAGCAACGCCGAAAACTACATCTCAGTCACCTGGAAGAATCCCGACGGACGCCTGGAAGGAGAGTACATTTGTGAAGGCACCGGGGTCGACATCGCTGGAGCCCCGGCGTCATTCTCAGACACCGTCTTGGTCGCGGTCGAATACCCGTCAAAAGATGAGTATATCACAGCCCTGTTCCAGCTGTACAACGAGCAGGACAAAATGGCCGAGACCATCAACGCCGCGTACGCGGTCGGAAACTCCACCGAGCAGAAGCTCCAGAACGCCCTGGCGACCGTCAGCAGACTGAGGGTCGATGGCTGCGTAGAAGAACTTAACGGCACCGGCTGCGACGACCCCAAGCTGCCCGTCGGATACAACGTTGTCAACATCACCCCGAAAGACGGACTCGGTGCCATCAGGGTGCTCTGCCAGGTCCGAGCGGTGGGCGAGGGCTGGGTCGTGTTCCAGAAGAGATTCGACGGATCCGTCGACTTCTACAGGGACTTCCACGACTACGAGAACGGCTTCGGAACGGTGGGCGCGAGCTCCGAGTTCTGGCTGGGCCTGAAGAACCTGAGACGTCTGCTGGTGGACAACGGCGACGCGAACCAGATCCGCGTCGACATGACCGAGCTCGGCACGGGCTACAACTTCACGAGAATCTACCCGACCTTCACGATCGGACCGGATCCGGAGTACACGCTGATCGCCGACGGGTACGACGACGGGGCGAGGGGCCTGTCCGAGAACGCCGGCGCGCAGTTCCAGACCTTCGACAGGGACAGCTCCGGCGGCTGCCCTTCGTCCCTGCGCCTGGCCGGCTGGTGGTTCAACCAGGGTTGCGGGTACGTCAACCTGAACGGCCTCTGGGGCCTGCCCGGGGGCGAAGCCTCCATGTTCTGGTACGAGATCTACAACCACCCGCTCCATTCCATGCAGGCGACAGAGTTGAAGTTCCGTCCTCGAACCCCAGCCGTTGTCATCCCACCAAAGCAATAAAAAAAAACTGTTAAATAAATAAATCCAACTTTTTGCTTCAACCCACACTTACACACTGTAGCTGCTCATTTATAATTTGTTTCCTTAACATTTGAATAAAAGTTGTTTTTTTTTGAGCCACGATTTTATTTTGTTGCTACTTCAATCATGGCCTGTGGGCGAAGGGGGAGGGGGGATGGTTGCAACGTCCACGTTAAACATAATCTAGTTATGAAGTGCAAATGATCTCTAATCAATTCGTTTATGTTCATGAAGGGAGTCATTTCCTCTTGGTATAAGATGGCTGATTTTTACACTAGAGAAATACTTTAGATCAATTGTGTTTAAATTATTCTAATAGTAAAATGGTGTCTTGATTAAAATATGTATTTATTTATGTGCTCAAATAATTATGTACATAATAAAAAATATTTTAAAAATCCATTTATTTGGATCAATAAACGAATGTTAGTTTATCTTATTTGTAATAATTACGGTAAATTTAGGAGCTTTTTAAAGCTATCAGTTCAGAGTCAGCGTCTGTAAGTTATTTCCTTCCTTGAATAGATCGAACTTTGAAATCACGATCTGTCTAGTACATCTGTTGAACTGATCAAACATGTCAGTTCTTTTAGAATATGTTCTTGGTAGCAACATACCAAATACAAGAATAATTTCATGAGACTTGTACTGTTAATGTCAACATACAAAATACGCGCATATCTTCATGAGAAATGGGCTGTTAGAGCCAACATTATACAATATAAAAGAATATGGCGGACCCTTAGATGTCATCTAAATCGAGATTGTCCAAAAAGTTAAACCCAGACACCCTATTTTTCACAGTCTTCACCAAAGGATTTTATTCACACCTGAGAATATAATCATATATAAGAATATAAACATATCAGAGAATATATCATTGTCCGATATGGTGTACCAAACCCTCCCCTCCCCCACACAAAAAAACAACAACAAAAAAACAAAAAAAAACAACTCAACTTGGATCAATCCAATAAATTCTGTGGACATATTAAAATGGTATGATTTTACTGTGCGGATACGATAAGCTGAAGTCAAAATTTAATGTGGTATACCTAAATAATCATGTGAAATTAACACCATGTTCTGAGGGGCGTATGTACCATGGAACAGATTCCGCTCTAACGACGACTATAAGGACACAGTGTCGTATTATATGTATTGTATAACAAAGGTGTTGTAATTATATAAATGTTGTATTACATAAGTATGTATTCTGTAAGTGTTGTATTATATAAGGCGTTGGGAAAACTCTTTATAACTCTCCACCATTTCCTAGATTCATTCTGTCACCATCAGTGCAAGACAATAACTACAAAGTCTTTAATGTCTACACTTGCATGCGTCTGCACCAATGTTCCCTTTAAGGTTTGTTGGTTCGTGTGCAAAATCATAAAGTTGTGTGCAAATTTTTGCAGCATCAATTTTTTTGTGCGCAAAATTTTACAGCCTACAGACGCAAACACACAGTAATGTGGAAATTAATTGCGCGGTACTCGAAACTGCTGCGCGGCGTTTGTGAGATTGCAGCGCGGCCGCGCAGCCGCGCAGCTTTAAGGGAACATTGGTCTACACCAGTGGTTCTCAACCTTTTTAGTGCCACGACCCTTTAACACAGTTTCTCGTGTCGTGGCGACCCCCAGCCACACAATTATTTTCGTTGCTACGTCATAGGTGTAAGGAAATGTGTTTTCAGATGGTCTTAGGCAACCCCTGGAAAAGGGTCCCGCGACCCCCAAAGGGGTCGCGACCCACAGGTTGAGAACTGCTGGTCTACACCCTCTTTAGAAACCGTCCTTTCTCGTATCTACAACATGTCTCTTATGGACAACTCCCAAGTCCAGACCAGGTCACCCACCATTTGTAAAAATTCCCACATAATCTTATCTGTCACTATATGTAATGTTGTACTTTGAACAAAGCAACTGTTTGATTCGTTTCATGATTTGATTGCAACGAGAGCAGTCGCAGATTCTCATGAGTAGCCCTAGAGAAGCGAGCAAATTGAGCAGAAGGCATACCTGGTGTTCAAGATAAAAATTTCTTGTGTTAATGAGCTGTTATTTAATACATACATATAGCATGAACCCAACGGCTTAGCTGTGTCTGGTCATCATAAGATCATGACGTAATCATTGAAATACGAATCATTTTCTTTTTTTAAAAAAAGCCCTTACATTTTCACGCCTTAACAAAAAATTAAAAATAAAGCCGTCAATTGAAATATATCTAATCAATCACACATGTTTTTAATTAATGTGTGGCATCCGTCCGTCTCCAAGACATGGCCGCCAACCGTACGTAAATATACGGAAAGTCTGAAACAAATTCGAGCGAGAAACAATTGTTCTTGAAATTTTGAGAACTTTCATTGGAGTGTAGTTGGGGCTTTAATGTGCTATCATGTTGTAGATAAGAGGAGCCACATTCCACGTTTGTCGTTCTCATCCACCTTATCTGTCTGGATTCGCCTAGCGGTATTTGCTGCAACCGACGAGCATGTAGGCGCCGCAGTGAATAGAATGTGGTGAAAAATTGTGGACATAAATTGCAAAGATCGGCAGAAACATCATTAACAACTACGTCTCTAGCATTAATTTAATAGTGTGTCTTACGCTGTTTAAAATTAGGTAAAAATATTAGACCCCCCTCCCCCCGTGTTACACCATACGTTTTTGGGCAACCCCGTTTAGTGTACCATTACGTAAAATGAGCTCTAAAAACCCACCCCACCACCCACCCACCCCCACCCACCAAAAGTAATTTAAATTATTGTTAGACCCTATTATGACGCCCTGGACAAGTCGATGAAGGTGAGTCACAGCTAACAGGTGGGTTTCCTAACTGTAGCGTACGGGGCCAACGGAAAGCAATTCGAAGATCATAGAGGCATACAGTCTCCGGGACAGTGGCGTTGTAGTGGGGGGGGGGAGCGGGGGGATGTGGAGGACGGCCCTTTTTCTCTTTATAAGGAGAGATGGCATTTTCGGCCAACTGCAGCTAGATTTTTTCGTGCGAGGCGGGAGATGGGGAGGGGGGCGGAAAGCTCTGGTCCCACCCGGGGGGGGGGTGGCACTGGCCCTGGCCACGACAACACGACACTGCTCTGGGATATAAGAACAGGTTCATTATACGCCCCCCTTCCAACCAATCATGAATATTTAAACTTAAAATGGCAGCAACATTTAAATT